ATAGACTAACCTTTAAAACGTCTGAAATAACATCTTTTGCATGTACTTGTCAAGACTCTATTAGAACCCAGACGAATAAAGATCCTTGAAAATACTTAACACTTCGTAACAGTCAAATACAATCAGGATTAGGGTAAGATGATCATGGAAGTCTCTCTTTCCAGTGCTTCTGGTGTTCTGTACAATTTCGAGCCGACATCACTGTGAAAATTCTAATACGTGAGCAATAATGCCTTATTTTCTTCATTATTGGTTCACTTTTTTGCATTCTAATTAGCGTAATACAATTCTGTTTTTTTCTTTCTTATTAGTGCTGTAAACACGTGCAAAGACTTTAGTCATAATATATCGAAAGTTTTAGTCACAAAAAAATTCTTCGTTCTTGAAATATGAGCTAGTCAAGAAAGAAAATGAGGTTTCTTCATGGCACTATTCAAGGTCAAAATTTGCACATTCAGTTTATCTGTATATATGAGTTAGAAAGATCAGTGAAATAGTCATAATTTTGAAAAGGATGACTTATAAGTTTCAATTTCGTAGTATTCTTCTGATTATAATATGTAATAATTAATATGGCAATTTTAATTGCAAAATCGTTTTATCATGTGCCGGACTTTTCTCGTAACTATGTTTTTGCTGTGCAGATATTAAGTCGATTTCTTTCTCTGAACAAAAGAATTACGCTTACTCCATTGTTTCAATTAGATGAAGAAAAATAGTTTTTGTACTAGATGTCAAATTTTATCACTTGCATGTGTTTGCAGCATAAACGAGTAAATGAAAAGAATTGCATTATGCTGATTAGAAGACGAAAAAGTAAACGAATTATGAAGAAAGTGAGGCATATTTGCTAACATAACAAAATTTTCCCTCTCGATGCCTATATTTTTTATCGATTTAATGACATATTTGAAAAGAATTTGAAAAATTACGCTGGACTACTATAGTTTTATTTCAGTTCAAAACTGTTCAGTGCACTAGAAGGACTGAGAAGAGAGACTCATATGCTTATCTTACCCTAATGCTGCTTGTATTTTGCTATTACGAAATGTGAAATGTTTCTAATGATCTTTGTTCGTTTGGATTCTGATAGAGTCTTGAGAATTGCATACAAGAAATGCTATTTTATGGGTTGCTCTATAAAGTAAGGATAAAGACCAAACTCGAAAATTCAATCTAGTATTACATTTCTCAAAGTTGCAGTGCCGATATTCGTGATAAGTAACACGGTTGACTTGATCTGGACGTGATTTCAAGGAAACAGACTGCTACAGATTTGTAGTCCATATCAATCTTGTCATTCTCATACAATTATTTCTTGAAAATATTTTGAACGAAAAAGTGGTCTTAACACTACTTATTCATTCTTTTCTATTTAACTTACCAATTTCACCTACAATATAACCGATTTTATTTCGACTTAAATCAAGTGTTTGTAGACTAACAGTATTCCAAACAGCAACAGGAATATGTTTTAATGTACATTCAGCCATAATTAATGTATGAAGATTTCGTAAATAACGAAATTCACGTGGTAAACAAAAATAATCATCGAGACCATTTTTTACACGTAATGGATTTCTTGATATATCAAGATATTCAAGATGAATTAGAGAACGTATACCTGTTGGTAAACCTGATAGATTATTATTTGATAAAATTAATCGACGAAGAGTAACAACTAGAAATGCAATGAAAATTAAATTCAAGATAAAACAAAAGGAATATTATACATACGTTCCAAGATTTCTGCTGGTACCATAGAAAGACCACGAGAAGATAAATCTTGTCTTTCAGAATCATTAGCTTGTGATATTTGTTTATTATCTGTATCACTAGTACTTATTGAACTTTTCTTTCTTTTTGAACCTCCTTTACGATTTGATGATGGTGATTTTGATTTTGATGATGACGATGATGCTGGTGTTTTAACATTCGATCGTTGTTTTTTCGATGTACTTGATTTTGATGATGGTGGATTTGTTGATCGATTACTTGGTGAAGTGTCAGAATGTTTTTTTGAATTTGTTTCTCGTGTATTTCTTTTCGATGTTTGTGATGAAGTTTTTGCACGTTGTTTGTCTTCGTCATGCGCGCCTGTTTTCGATGGTGTCTGATGGGATCGAGAAGATGATCGGCTTTTTGCTCGTTGTCGTTCACCAGGAGACAAACTCGCTTGACGATTGCTACTCGACATATTTGTTTGAGTTTGAATGAAGAAAAGAAAGAGAAAAGCCTGTTGTCAGAGCAGTCATTTTCTGTTGTTTTAATTATTTGCTTAGACACACGTTGTTTGAAGGTAACGCGATTTTTTTTCTTTTTTTTTTTTTGGTTTTTTTTTGCACCGTCTCATGCTCCTTTTTTTGCTACTTACATCAAACATGAACCCATATGAAGGAGATCAAAATTCACCGATAAATACATACGTAAATAAAATCATATTGAGCAATAGCTCCTTGAAATCCTGTGTCTTAACAATACTTTACATTTATTTGAATATTACAGATCTTTTTTCATTTATATTTCATCGTATTTTTTAATGTCAGGATTTGGATACTTTAGTACTCCAACTTATTATTATAAGATCGACACAATTTTTTATAACCATGGACGTGGATTACAAGAGAAAATATTGGAAGCACAAGGGGAGATTGATGCTTGGGCTGCAACGCTTCGTTTTCAGATCGATGAACATGTAAAAACGCAAAAAAAATTTCTTCAACAGTGCTATGACGAGCAGCAACATGCTTTGGAGGCGAGAAAGGACGAGTTCATGACCACAGCACGGAGATATTACGATAGAAACGATTATGAACAAATTAATGAATTACTGAGACAATGTCAAGCTTTAAAATTTGAACTACTGATCGCGTTCGATTATGAAGATCGGTCGCTTTCATTTATAAAATATATGAAAAAAGAACAATTAGAAGAAAACAAGAGACAAGAGTCTAACACAACTAACGTCGGAAATAACAGGCTTGAAACACCATCAACATCCAAAGATCATCGAACTGATGATAAAACTAGAGAATCACACATAGGCTCATCATATGAGCAGACATACGTGAGTGGACAACCAACAAAGTGAGTGTCTCTGTTATTAAGTGTATTTCATGTATAATTTTTGTTTTTGTTTTTTTTTTCAGTGGATCTTCATCGACATCAAAATCAGCAACTACATATGATCATTCGACGAGTGGTAATGCTAGTCAGAACGATCAGACTACGGGCAGTAATGTCTCAGAGGAGAAATGTCCGGTGTGTTTCATGATATATCGATCAAACATGAACGAATATGATCGTCGCCAACATATTCAAGAACACTTTAACGATACTTGACAACGTACAAGAATAAACAATTCTAATGAAAAATTACTTCTTTTCAATGTTTGCTTTTTTTATGCTGTGAAGATGTATTTTCCATGCTTTTCTTTTTATCATAATTCTATTTCATATTGCAATGATGCTAAGTGATAATTCCTTAAAGTATCAAAATTATTTTGTTTTTTTTCTAATACAATTATTAATAAACAAGACAAAGGTATATTCTTATTTTAGACAAAAGACACATGCTTCACATCCAAAAACTGAACAATGTACAAATGCTGTTCATCTCCCCGTCAAAAAATTTATAATTGGTATTTTATTGAATCTCTCCAGTATAAGTATAGTCGCTATCGAAATCAATTTTGACGACTATTATTATTGATGACTGACAAGTCAATCGAATAAATGCATAGTATTCGTTAGTTACTCATCACTAGTCTAAACAAATATGAATGTAAGTGCAGATAAATGAAGTATTGTCTTGAAAGAATCAGGTTTTCTTCTACTTTATTTTCTCTGATATCTCAGCACCTATCTAAAACTATAGGTATGCACAACAGTCGTTCATTATTTAGCGAAGTTTTTATCAAGAGGTATGTGAGAAATAGATATTTTTTCTTTGACTTTTTTCGAATATTTAAATTTTTCAATTGAGAACTCGTTCAATCATTCTTTGAATTCCATTTGTTCAAGAATTTCACTCGCATATAAGTAGATAGTTAGCAGTATGTATATATGGTGTAACAAGAAAATATAGTTTTTTGAACAGTTGTAATGCTAAGAAACATTCAGTAGGAGAATTGTTATATTTACATTGCGGAGTATACTGTTTTAATTGTCTAAAATCTAATTCTTTTAAGGATTTATTCATGCAAGATATGTTCTTTTTAGTTTCTTAATGGCAAAACATTTGTTTTGTGAAAGTACATGTATCTTATAAAAATATTTTCTTTTGCTCGTGTATCTAGCATAGGATTTTAGTTGTTCTGAAACAATTAAATAGTGCTTTCTTAATATCTTTTTTAGTTTCCAAATCATTCGACCTATATTATTATTGGATATAGAGATTCATGGCTTTGCATTTATGTTTCTTTGAAGACGTTGTATTGTAGAAAGGGTTTTTAGATGATTTGAAAATACTTCTTGGTTTGTACATAAGAAATGTCACAGCTGGAATAGCGAGAGTTTGAAATATTTTCTAAACTTTTCTTTATTGAAAAGCTACTTAACGAGTTAATGCAGATGTTTAGACAATAGATTTCTGTTTTTTCGATATTGTGTTATCACGGTCTGCGTCTGCAGGCATTTATGTTGATAACTCATACAATCAAGAATTTGGTTGGATTTTAACTTGGTATTTTATTTTATGAGAAGAAGAATTTGTTTGATAATTAATGCTAGGCATGTATGTGCATGAACATATTTCGAATTAGATGAAACAAAAAAAATGAATAGTACTACAAGCTTCACATTAGTTTACATTGTTCTTTCTTGTTCTATAATTCGAAAAGAAAAACAAACAATTGATTGCATGTACATCACATGAAAAATAATTAACAGATAAAGCAAATTTCTTTTTATGTTCTTTTTTTAGAAGTTTTGCTTTTTATAAATGTATATTTATGTCAAACAATTTTAGATTATTATTATTGATATTTGTTAGCTTTTTCATGTCGAGATTTTCACTATTTGGTTATACGATTGGGCAGAGTCGATCAGAAAAAGAAATAAATACATTATTTCAATATTATGAGAAGACATTGTCTGGTCAAAAATCAAAGATGTTGAATGATATCGGTGAATGGCAAGATAGCTTTATCCACGTCATTCGTCAACATGCTGAAAAGCAAATTTATCGTCTGGAGCAAGAGTATGACAATGAAGTACGCTATTTGAAACAACAGTGTAAGCTATTTATTGATGAACTATATAGACATGAGGAGACGAATAAGGCTGAGAAAATTGACCAATTACTTGATCGTTGTAAGGCTTTGAAATTCGAATTAGCCGCACTGGAATATATTGAACAACCTATTCCATTGATTCAAGTAACACAACGAGAATCGGTGAATATTAAGCTAGATAAATTAGAAATAATTGAACGTAGAAACAAGAGCTCAACACAAAACTCACTATTAAATGATCAACACAAAGCATATTATACTGGAAATGCTTATGAAAATTCGTATTCCACAGCAACATTTGCAAATGTTCAACAAACAGAGTAACTTTCTATGTTTATACGTTTATCCTCTATACGAAGATTAATTTTTTTCTTTTGGTAGTACAAAACCATCGACGAAGGGCCTTGTAAATGTGTACAAGCATCCGACGAGTAATGACAATGATCAAGATTTTTCTGATACGAGAGATTATGATGTGCTCGAAAAATGCCCTACGTGTTTTATGATATTTTCACAAAATATGGCACCACATGATCGATTGCAACATGTTCAAGAACATTATATAGATGATTGATAAATAAACATAACAATATTTTGTCAGAGAATTTTTTTTTTCTATCTTTTTTTTAGTAACGAAAGAAATACGAATTTGAATTGTTTTCTAAATCATGAAATTTGTTTTTATTGTGTTCAGTTTTCGAATAAATTAAATTCAAAAACATTCTTTTGTGAAATATTCTCCAATAAACAATTGGACATTATTCTTAATTTATTATCATCCTGTTTAGAGAAATATAAATGTGCAAGGACAAAGATGAATCTTTACAATGAAAAGAACAGTTGCAGTTTTCAATTCTTCATTATTTATTTAAACTTTATCATATGATAGACTTTCGATTGTTTATTTGGTGATACTAATTTTCTCGTCGTTGCTATATCCTTTCTCTCGTTAAGTTCCCATGTGATTCAAACTGGACAAAAAAACAGTCGACTATCTTCTGATCTAGGGAACTGCAAAGTGGTCCCAGTCCCGCCGGGACCGGGACCAAAATTTTGTTTTTTTACCGGGACCGGGACGGGACTGAAATTTCTATGTGGTCCCGTAACTTTTTTTTAACAGATACTAGGCTAAATTTTTTCTTATTTAGTTTTTTCTATTAGAGATTTTAGAATTGGTTATTTTATCTACATTGGAAAAAATCTTTTATACATTCTGATGTTGATTTCAAGAATCGCAATTTCTTGATAATTCTATCGGTATTAGAATATGCGTAAACAATACGCACGAACAACAAGACTAGAGTTGCTTCATTTTAGAAATATAACCGNATCAAACACACAAAGAAAACAAAAACGTTTGTTTGCTATAAAGTAGTACTTGTTGGTTTCGGTGAACATTCTTAATTTAAACAAAAAAATTTAAAAACCTTTCTTGTCTAGTTTACATCATTGCGTTCTTCATTTTCGTAATTTCTTTTGGAAATAAATCTCTGCAAACATGCCGCCTTTAAATGCTTGTATGATTATATCTATTAAATTGAATACGTTCACTATATGATACTACAAAAGAACACAATTTGTCTTTTCTTCATTCAACTGAAGTAAATCGTTAGTTTCATCGATTAAAATTCTTTTGAAAACCTTAAGAATATTTCGGAAAAACTTTGCGAGGAGTTTTTCTAGTTTAAAGAGTACTTTACAGAATGAATTATTTAGTTTTCAAAAATATTATTTGAACTTACAGGTTTTGTAAATGGAAATGCAAGCAGTAAGAACTTTTATCCTTTTTTTGTGCCACGTCGCTAACGCTGATTTTTTCGATAATAACTCAGTGTAATCAAGGTGTATTAGACTGAGTTTTTCATGGTCTCTAGAGTAACCCAAAATACATCTATTACATACAAAGATATTTAATAGGAATCCCAAAGTCTCGAGATATGCACATTTTCATTTTGGAAAATCATGTCATTAACAAATGAAATTGGCCGTGTATTTCAATATATCACTGGTAAACATGACCTTCGTATCGTTGTTTGAAAGAGTGCAGTGCAGACAATAGCATGAGCAACTTCAAATTTTAGAAGATCAGAGCAGATGAAACTTGATTAAATTAAATCATACATTTCAAAATAAATTTTGGCTTTAGTTTAGAACAATATTTATGTAAAAAGTTTTTTTTCATTTATTTCACAACTACAAATTTTCGACAATTCAGTATTTTTAAATAGAGTTGTACAAAATCACTAGATATGAAAAATACAATTAATTGTTGAATTTTTTTTTCTTATTATAGATTTTTAAACATAAAATGTTACTTTCATTCAATGTATAAAATATTGCTTTAAGATGTTTTAAGTTGTTATAGAGAAAAGACAAAAAAAAACTGTGAATTATTGCTGTCGAACTAGTCGTTTTCGTTCTGTCATCTATTTGCAAATAACTTTTTCTTTGAGACTTTCAGCTTGTTTCAGTATTCGTCTGCAGTATTCATCTTTGAATTTTCTTCTTTAACTAAAAAAAGTAATGAACATAAATGCAGATCACATTCAGCACATGAAAACTACTCCATATGCTCATAAAATATTAGTTTTCGAAGTAAATCCTCGAAAAATTATGCTCGAACATGTGTTTCATTTTAGAACAATTTTAGATTAGTATTGCTGATTTTTGTTGGCTTTTTCATGTCGCAATTTTTACTACTTACTTATACAATGGTGAAGAACCGATCAGCATGAGAAGTTAATAAATTATTTCAACATCTTGAGAGAACATTGTCTGATCAGAAATCAAAAATGTTCAATGATATCACTGAATGAGGAGCTACCGCTATGTGTAGTATTCGTCAGCATGTTGATTAATAATCAATTTTATCATCTCGAGCAAGAGTATGACAATGAAGTACATTATTTAAAACAACAATATATAAGCTATTTATTGATGAACTCTATATACAAAAGGAGAAGAATAAGTCTGAGAGAATTGATTAATTACTTGATCATTGTAAGGCTTCGAAATTCGAATTAGCTGCACTGAAATATACTCAAGAACCTATTCAATTGATTCAAGTAATACAAAGACAATCAGTGAATATAAGTTGGAATGAACTTGATACAGTTGACACTAAAAATGGTAGATTTTTGAAAAAATCGATAGTAATAGATGACAAAGAGAACGATAGGAGTACATACATATGCAGGTGTATTTATAATATCAACGTCTACAAACCCAAAACAATCAAAGTAAGTTTTTATATCAATTGGTCGATTTATTTTACGAGTGTCATGTTCTATTTAAGTCAATGGTCATTAACTATAGAAATCTCGAGTGATGATGTTCGGTCAACAATCAACTGTAATGAATATGTTAGATGAATGTCCTAAGCGTTTCATGTTCTTTCCATCAAATATGGTATTGTTTAATCTATCTGTTCATATTAATGAACATATTGTAAATGAATAAGGAAATTATTTGGCAACATTATTAAACATGTATTTTCTTTCAATTTTTTCCGACAACACGATGTATGCTTCTATTGAATTTTTTTTTGGGTATTCTTGAAATTAAAGAGTAATATTTTGAATTGGATATCCAAGCCGTCTCTTGATTTACTATTGAGATTATCATCAATGTCTTCTGTGTATACGATTAGTCAAAACGCTTATCATCATAACATATCGAAGTATGTTCTGCTTTCAATTCTCATTCGGTGAAGTAAAAGATTCTCTAGCAGCTACCAAAATCGATTAGATACATTGATAAATAATTTTATAAAACATACATGACTAGAGATGAAAGGATTATTTTCAGAATTCTATTAACTTTTGTCGAAAACTGCGAACAGCTAACAGCTAAAAATGAGAGCGCGTTCCTCATTTTTTTAAATGACAAATATCAAAAAGAAAAATAATCAATTAGATAATATCTTACGAGAAAATTTCTCCAACGGGATACCTTCTATTTGATTTCATATTTTACTTATAAGTAGAAGTCAGAGTTTAGATGAAAACTCGAAAAAATGTCATTTCTCTAAGGCATGTTTTTCGAGTTATGGCTAGAGCCTGTCGAGTCCAGGTTCGAGAATTTTGGACTTAACAAGTACTAATTATGTCTATTTTACAGAATTTTCATCATATTGCAGAATAGTATGAAAAAACCTTCAATGAGGATGTTTCGTTTAGAAATTTTCCCAATAAGAGATCTCAGAGTATTTATTATATGCTGAAGATTCCTGCTCAAACAAATAGGTTTTTCTCAAGATATGAGATACTTTTAAAAGATAGTTTATTTTGACAGCTTTTAGGAGAAAGTAATTTTTTGCAATTGTGCCGTCTTGAAAGAGAAGTATGCATTTGAGCTAAAACTTTAAAATCAAAATAAATAGTTTGAGATATGTTATTAAGAAAATCTTCAAATTGCAAAGTATTTACTGTAGCTTTTTCTTTCGTACTATGTTGCAATGTGCAAAAAAACTCATAAAAATAACCATAACTCGAGAAGAACGACCTGAGGAGACGAATTCTTTTCGAGTCGTCATCTAAATTATGTGTCCTATTAATGAATGAAATATGAACTCAAACAGTAAGTGCCAGACACGCTTGGAACTGGTCGGACTTTGTTTGGGCCGAATCAAACTGGATGGTTGATATTTTTGACTGAATCGACAAAAAACTGGTATGTTTAAATATATCAATTAAGAATGCATTTGAAAGAAAACGATACTTGCTAACAGAAAGATAAGGCCAGCTAAAACGTACAGTTTTTAAATTAGACTTCGTGTTTTAAGATTTCTTTATATCTAAGTATTTTTACAATTGCATTATGCTAGTATTCAGCAAGATCTTGACAACCGAACGAAATCTTTTCTGATATTTTTAATACACCCATGAACTGAAAACTATTAGCTACGGTGATTTTACGAGAGCCGATTGAAAGCAGTCTAGAAAAGTGCGTTCGAAATTTCGAGAGGAAAAGCCTTTAGTTTATACCGAAATTAACTTTCTAATATCTGCCAACTTCCCGCGAGCATAAATTCATTTAGCGAAAAAAATCAATAAAAAGAAATTATTATGAAAACCGAATCAGCAATCGGCACCGTATTAAGGTACTTCTATAGATCAGCGACATCGCAGTATCCACAATCTCTTTGACGTGTTCTATTAATCAGACAAATTAATGTATAGGGCATCGTCGCTCTGGAGAACAACTTCCAACGAATACAAAAATGTCTACTCAGCTCAATGAAGTAATACAAAATTTCTTCAGAGCTAATTGACTAATAAGCCGCCATAATCCAATTCTTTTCTTTACCAACAATAATCAACAATAATAATAATCTGATTTTTTTTCAATAAAAAAAATGTTTTACTTTCTAAAATTTATACTAAAAATTTTTGAACTTTTATTAAAAAAAATTATACATGGAGCGACATCTAATGGAAAGAAGCTTCTCGAAAGAAAGAAAGCAACATAATAAATCATTTCATTTCCTTTCTTTTCATTCATTTAGCCAACACAAATCATGACATCAACGGAAACCGACCAGCAAACGACATTTAAAGGCGAAGATATAACTCCTGAAAAAGATGGAGGTTTGTTATTTATAAAAAAACAATTTCATTTCAATCTTTCAAATATTAATTTCCATTTTCTTGTTTTGTTAAAGGTATTATCAAAGAAATACTTAAAGAAGGTCATGGTGACGAACAACCGTTACCAAATGATAAAGTCTATGTGCATTATGTTGGTACATTACTTGATGGCACTAAATTTGATAGTAGTCGAGATCGAAATGAAAAATTTGAATTTGACCTTGGTAAAGGTTCAGTTATTAAAGCATGGGATATTGGTGTTGCAACAATGAAACGTGGTGAAATATGTCGTTTAACATGTAAATCTGAATACGCATATGGTGAAAATGGTTCGGGTGATAAAATTGGTCCAAATGCAACATTAGTTTTTGAAATTGAACTTTTTGATTTTGTTGGTAATGTCTTTTCTGTTTTATTTCTTTTAGACAAAAAAGAAAAAAAAACAATTTTATTTTATTTCTTAGGTGAGGATTTAAGTGAAGGAAAAGATCATAGTATTGTTCGACGAACTTTAAGAAAAGGTGAAGGATGGGCTAAACCAAATGAAGGTGCTACTGTTGAAGTTATGCTTAAGGGTACTCATAATGATCATGTATTCGATGAACGAACAGTATCATTTACTGTTGGTGAAGGTTTCTTACAAAATATTCCTGAAGGGTTTGTAACTAGTTTTTTTTGTCTTGTAACTAATTAATTTCTTTTTATTTTTAGTGTCGAACATGCTATGACAAAAATGACAAAAAATGAACATGCTCAATTAAAATTAAAATCGAAAGCAACAACTGGTGTAGAAAAATTCAGCATTCCAAAAAATACTCCTGTTCAATATGATGTTACATTATTAAATTTTGAAAAAGTTTGTAAACTTGATAAAAGTAATAAAAAGAGTACTTTTTCTTTATTTACTCTAGGCTAAGGAATCATGGTCAATGAATGATGCAGAAAAACTTGAACAATCAGAAATTATAAAAAAACGTGCTGCAGAATTAGTTACAGTAAGAATATAAACGAACTGTTTTTTTTAGCTCTAGGTTACTTCTATTGTTTGAATGAAGTGTTTCGTTTATTATGGAACTTCTTTCGATTGAATAATAATTTCAAATTTGTAGAATGAGATCGCGAGACTTTATAAATAATATAAAATTTTAAAAGCTCTCAATCAATTTGCCTCTACTATAGGAAAGTACTATTTGTCCTCGCCTTGTATGCGATACAAAGTTTGAACAAAACTTTTGTTTCGATAAGTAATTCATTTAGAATATAAATAAGGACATGAACGATCACATTAAACTTCATCATTAAATCTAAATGAATTTTTATCGTATTTTCGATGTGAAAAAATGAGAAAAATAACAGCCCACAAAAGAAAAATAGAATCAAAACATTTAAAGTAGAGATGTGCAGGATAACATATGTGTAAGGGTTAAAAAGTCATACGATGGGACATTTGATTTTTCAACAAAATAGTGTTCGTTAAAAAAATTATTTTGTAACAAAATCAATATCCAAAGATTTTAGCGACAGTGTTTTATCTAGATTTTCTCTTCCTTTAAGGGCGAACATTTATTTTTGAGAGATCTTATGCATAGTACTTAGTACAATAGCCACAAGATCCAGGAGAGCTAGCACGATTTTCGGAGGGCCGTCGTCTTCGTTATCATTACGCTGGATAAAATACTGGTTAGCGGTATAAGCGATATAATGGTATAGTGACTGTAGCTCGTCGGGCTCAGGAGTTTGCGGATCCATATCCGATCGGTTAGATTTTTTGGACTCAGACCCGAGTCCGATAATAACTCGGTTTAGATCTTATATTCAAGAACAGTTTTATTTTTTTTCCTATCTTTTTATCAATAAATTGCAGGTTTTTTTTTTGAATAAAACTAAGAAAAATTTAAAGAAATTCAAAAATTATTATTATATGCATCAAACTTTTCTTCTGAACCAGATACGACTAGCAAAAAACTTTTAGACCGGGATCCGATCAAGTGTGATAGTGGTACAAGTGGTATAGCACTCTGCTGCTATACTACTATGTCTCTATACAGGGGTGCCGGATCTGACTGTAAACGCGTGTTTGGGTCAATTTTCGAAAAAATATTGTGTTCGTAGAAACTTTTTTCGAAACTATTGAGTCTCTGGAAATTCTTCAAGTCTTTGTACTGCATATTCTGCACTCCGGTTAGAATAACACTTTATCGCTTCCATCTCTTATATTTCAATGTATTTTTGCAGGTGTTCCTTTTTGCCTAACTTTGCCACATAATAAAATTTGTTGTGAACGTCAGCAAATTTTTCTTAGTCAGAGTACAAAACTAGTGTACTCTGCTCATCTCTAATTCAAAGTAATACGTCAACTCTTGAGCCTTAGAAAACTGTATCAACTTGAGTATTTTCAATGAACATCGAGGAATTAAATTTCAACAAAGCGTTGAAAAAGTTAATTAACCAAGTTACATATCCAAAATAAGATACACTGGATATAGCGTAAAATCATAGAAATAAAAAATGTTGCCAACCAAAATGTATAGCCCATGTGATTCGAACAGAGCAAAAGCGAACTGGTATAATGTGCGCTATACCAATAGTTGACTTCAGATTAGCAATCTATTGCTACTATAATATCGATTCTAATGAGTGACATGGCACACTGNGGGGGCCATAGTGGTATAGCACTCTGCTGCTATACTACTATGTCTCTATACAGGGGTGCCGAATCTGACTGTGAACGCGTGTTTGGGTCAATTTTCGAAAACATATTGTGTTCGTAGAAACTTTTTTCGAAACTATTGAGTCTCTGGAAATTCTTCAAGCCTTTGTATTGAATATTCTGCACTCCGGTTAGAATAACACTTTATCGCTTCCATCTCTTATATTTCAATGTATTTTTGCAGGTGTTTCCTTTTTGCCTAACTTTGCCACAACAAAATTTGTTGTGAACGTCAGCAAACTTTTCTTAGTCAGAGTACAAAAATAGTGTACTCTACTCGTCTCTAATTCAAAGTAATATGGCAACTCTTGAGCCTTAGAAAACTGTATCAACTTGAGTATTTTCAATGAACATCGAGGAATTAAATTTCAACGAAGCGTTGAAAAAGTTAATTAACCAAGTTACATATCCAAAATAAGATACAGGATATAGCGTAAAATCATAGAAATAAAAAATGTTGCCAACCAAAATGTATAGCCCATGTGATTCGAACAGAGCAAAAGCGAACTGGTATAATGTGCGCTATACCAATAGTTGACTTCAGATTAGCAATCTATTGCTACTATAATATCGATTCTAATGAGTGACATGGCACACTGGCGGTGATACAAACAAACATGTGACCTAGAAATGGTTTCATTCTTTAATATTAGAGCGTAAATTATTTAATTATAAAGCCCTAAAAGTCTTTTACATGAGTGAATTAAAATATACCTTCATTGTTAAGAAGAATGTTTATTTTCTACGTTAATCATTTACAAATAGTTACTTTTCATAATTTAGGATGGACATTATCGATTTGCTATTAAAAAATATGCTAAAATTGGTGATTTTCTTCAAACAACAACTTATGAAAATGAAAATGATAAAAAGAAAGCTGAAGAATTAAAATTAAGTGCACAATCAAATACTGCCTTATGTTATTTAAAATTAAATGATTATGTTGAATGCATTCAGGCATGTGAAAAAGCATTAGAAGTAGATCCAAAAAATGAAAAATGCTTATTTCGTCGGGGCCAATGTCAATTATCGATGTCAAATTTTGATGAAGCTATGAAAGATTTTCAAGAAGTTTTAAAATTAAATCCATCAAATAGTGCTGCGAAACAATCTGTTCAAAAATGTCGCGAAGAAATGAAAGCTTATCATCAAAAAGAAAAACAATTATATGCTAGTATATTTGCAAAAATGGCTAAACAGAATGAAAAAGTATGTTTGACAAATTTTCACGGTGTGTAATCATATAAATATATTGTTTTTTATTAGAATGAAGCTGAAGCTACCAATGGTGATGCCAAAACGAATGAAGAAAATAAAACTGAACAAACAACGACAACAAATTAATTCATTTACGTTTTCATTCCATGCTAATCAAGATTTAAAGCAAAACAGTTAATAAACTGTTCTGTGTTCGTGTATTATCGTGATACTAAACGTTACAGTTCTCTTTTTTTTTTGTCTTTTATTTGTCGTCTTTTGCTAAAAGTAAGATGAAATAAAAACAGCAGTTACATGCGATAAACAAAAAGCAAACACTGTGCGTACTAATAACTATGCTGAAAGACCACTAAGAACCGCGGCAAGGATTCGAATAAGCATACCAATACCAAGAAATATATAATTTTTTCTACCTTGAATTTCTCGAAATAAAAATAATGACCATAATGAAGTTACAACGCCCGGTAGAACATTAACAATTGGATAAGCAACTGCATTTTTTAATGTACTAATAGCAACAATAAAACCAATATTTGCCACGGCCCACATAGCACCACTAACCATGGCTGGTAATGCAATAGATGGATTAATAGATGGTCTATTACGTTTTAATGCTGCATATATAATAAAATAAAATAACGATGAAAGAAGAACACCTGAATATTGTGAATTGATATAGTAAAGACCATTATTAGGTGGTAATTCATTATTATGTTTATAATTTTCTCTGTGATCACGTATATATTGATCAGGAATAAACATTAGTCCATAAAATATTCCAGCTACACTAGCTAAAATACAACCTACTATTCGTTGTAGTCTATCACCTAATTTATTGAGACATGGAAAATCAGTTTCAAGATTTTCTTCATTTTCGACATTCAAACTTTCAGCTTTTTCTAATTCAATTGATGATTGATCGTCATTTAGATTCAAATTTCGAAGAGCCCTTACTGTTTTTGTTGATTTAATGAAAAGAAAAAATACTGCACTAAGTGCAGCTAATATAACTGATATATAATTCATTGCTGCTTTTTCTTTACTTCCTGGTATTTGTGGCTTAATACCAAAAATACCAAAACGACCACCTGCCCAACCCATTATTAAACTTGTTGTTCCCCATATTAGTAAACCAACAGCAAGACCACAAGTCTTTATACAAAATACTGTAACAAGATTTCCTGTTGTCCATAGTATACCTAAAAACAATTTGATATAAAAAGTTAAAAAAAGACAAGAAAGATTTTATTTAATACCTCCAATAAGTACAAGTGGATAGAAACGTTGATTATCCAAAATAAGATCAAGTATAAGACCAATAACCCAAACAGTAACACAGTATATAAACTGGAAAAAAAATCCATCACCGGCTGAAAATTGTTTTACTGGTAATAAATTTGAACCGAAAAAAATTGAGGCTACAAGACATCCAACAAAACCTGCCCAAAGTGGTAATTGATTTTCAGACGCTGTGTTAACAATAGTTGTATTGTTATATATATTAGTGTCTACAACGTCGTCGATAACATTATCAGAGATGCTACTTGTTATTAAGGATAGAAAATATATTAAAACCAATGGAAACGTGCTTCGTGAACCTATCATTTTATTAAAATTTTAAACTCAATGAAATGTTGTTCTTCGAAACACGCAATAAACATGAGAAGATAAAAAAGAACGAATGATGATTCTAAGTTTATAATGATATCAAGGTAAGTAAACAAGACAGCTGAATTTTTGGTATAAATATGCTTACTACAAAAAGTTTGTTTTTATCATATTTTCAAGCAGATTCTTCGGTGCAAAACCAAATATATTCTATGTCAGGACAGAGATATTTTTTTCTGTTACTGATGGATATCTACAAAGATATTTTCGTATGATAATTAGTCGGAAAGTATCTTTGTTGTTATGTCAGATCAAAGTCCAACGAGTATGGGCGCCTATTTTTACATTATTTATCTATGTTTAAAGAACTTTTAGTCTTTAATTTTATTTTAATATCAACTAATTATTCTTATGACTATTTTGTTCATTTTAAATCCCATGATGTACCTTGTTTAATATTATCTATCGATAATTTATGGATTCGATGTTTAATAAATCAATCTGATCCATTAAAATTTTTTAGTAAAACTTTATTAACAAATATAAATATTGAATTTGAATTAATATCAATTAATAATTTAACATTACCATCGAATTTTTTTGTCGATGATGATAATAATAATAATAATAAAACAATTTCTAATGATTCATCAATAAAGAATAATCATAGTGTTATTATTTTTGATACGACACAAAATTTTCAATTAAAACAAATCAATATTTTAAAAGATACATTTATAAATATATTTTCAATAAAAATACATTTTATTATTCATAATTGTGGTTATCCAATATTTCATATTGAACGAAATATTTTTCATTCTAATATAATAAAACAAATATTTATTACATATAACAGTCGAACAGTTTTCTTAAAAGATTTTTTTTCTCGTGAATGTTTAATTGATGAAGAAATTATTTTTCAAAATGAAAATGAATATAAATTAATAAAATTTAATTTTTTAAATAAAAACAAACAATTTAATTCAACTAAATTACTTATTAATGGGTTACTTTTTATTATTGTATTATTTATGACTAGTATATTAATGTGTTTAACTATTAGAAAAACTACTAAATTAAAAACTGTATCTTTGTTTTATGATGTTATACAATCAGATAGAATGTCAAATTTTCTGCCTACAAGTGAATCATCAACATCATTTGTATCATATGCTCATTGAGAAACTATATTTTGGTAAAGATTAACTTCGACATGATGTTCTTCTATGTGTATACTATTGATTAAAAGCATTTAATTATACCATAATTTCTATAAACAGAAAACGATTTGAACCTTTCATTCTCATATATCAGTTGAATGATATATATCAATCTTTGTATATTATCAGGTGCATAGTATATCCGCGAATGTTCTGAGCGGGGTCAACCTTTCCCAATCTTTGTGACTCTTGGACATCTCTGAGTATATCTACCTTTTATTAATGCACTTATTTTGTGAAAAAGGATCCAAAAGAAGTGTTAAAATATAGAAGTAGAAATTTGGACTCCCCGAAGGCACTTTAGCAAAACCTCCTCCATGTGGCAGACACCACTGAGAAATCAAAGTCCACGGGAATATATTCTGATTAACACTGACATGCATTAACAGTAGGTGAGAATTCATAAATCGAAGCATCTTTTGATTAATCTCCTCTTTTACAATACCAACATCTCTATTATATTTCATATTTTAGTCCTAGAGGGATTGCGCTAATATTTTTTCTTTGTAAAAGGAGGCAAAGGATGCCCTTTTATTAATTCATAAAATTATTATTTATAGAAAAAATAAAACGTAAATGACATATCAGTTATAACTGCGCAAAGAAACATGAGAACAAAGATAAATTCACATAAAAGACAATGAATACGAACGTGCATATAACACCTTATTCGAGTAGAATTTATGCCTCATTGATTTGTTTATAAATGTATTGTGCTTGAAGAACTGCTTACGAATGTATATACTTTTTATTGCAATTAGAGCATTGTTTCGTTGGAAAAATATGTACGACTGAAATCACATTTTTTTTTCAAAACAATTCTGGTTTCTAGAATTTTTCTCTTCACTATTTCACAATATTTGCTCCTAATGCAGAATCGTAAACTGACTAGAAAAATATTACTTGCTTAAATTTCAAATTAGTAACGCAGAAATCGTTATCAGTATATCTCGGTGTATAGCACGTGTTTGTAAATACTTGATCAAACTTATCTAGTTGCTTGTGAGAAACGATAAGAGTAAACACCTTCTCTTATCTGTGTACCGTCAGATTTTGCGTAACATAAGTGTCCATTTCATTTTACTGATGAGATAATTTGATGCTTTCTTATTTTAGTGACAAATAGGCCAAATAATAGCCTTGTCTTAACCAGTTTTCATTATTGAAACTCAGTTGGAAAACGAAGAAAGTAGCATATTGAGAAATAACATGAAAAACAACACGATATTTTATTCTTTTTACCGAAATAATTTTTTTCAAAGAAAACGCACGTGTACAACCTCTCAGTATTTTTTTCTAAAATTTTGCCTGTGGTTACCCTAAGCTCGGTTTGCCCTTGGGAACAAAGTTTGCTAAAATGTTTATCATTCGGCAAGATACAACCTATATGAGACATTTGCTGTTATCTTCTCTCACCAGCAACTGGATATATTTGATGAAGTATTCATAAACACTTGCTATACGCCTAGATATATGAATAACGATTTTTAAGTTAATAATTTTAAATCTATGGAAATAATATTTTTTGAAGTCAGTTTTCTATTCTGAATTAGAAAAACATATTTTTACACAATTTAGAAAACCCTGTTAGTGTAATTCCTATGTAATTAAAATGTGAAACGTGATGGTGCTGCTGGTATTGTAAAAGAGGAGAGTAATCAATACATGTTTTAGCTTATGAGCTCCTACCTAATGTTAACACACTAATCCTGCGATGGACTTCGATGTCGCAGTTATGTCTGTCACATCTTGGAGGAAGATTCACATTTTTACCTGTTTACTTCAACACTGCCTTCATATTGTGTTTCATAAAAAATGCATAGAAGCTATAATTGTTCTGAGGAAAATGTGATGCTGGTCATATGTTTAATGTTATTAGTTTTTCTCCACAGAAACCGTGACCTAATTGAAATAAAAAGTATTTAATTGTAAGCACTGCTTCAAGCTCTATCAATCTACAAACAAATCAATGAGACATAAGATCCACTTGAATAAAGTGTTATGTGTACCTGAGAAACAGAGAGACAATTTAAGAGAAAAACTATATTAATAATGCTATTTGAAAGTTCTTTGAATGACATCGATCTTTTCGTTTTTAGAATGAAGTTCAACGAGTTTTACCTATAATCTGACGCATTTTGAATAAAATGGTTAGTTCAACAGAATGTTTGCATATGTACCTGTTTTAAGCCAATCATAAATATACAGAATATTAGTGGTGATTCCCATTAGTAAGATGACTACCGCACTGCATAATTATCAAATGAAGCTTATTGACCTAATTGATACAAATCTAATCATACCAAAATTATCATAAATATTACAGCTGAATTAGAAAAGATATAATAATTGTTATCAGTAGACCTAGCAAATTGTGATGAAACACTTGCTTCAGATGTATATTGCTATAATAGAATATATCTTTTATAAGTGTTCTGTGTCGATAGGATCAATTTAATCGGATAAGATTACTATTGATTAATTTCGTCATATGACTGAAGTAGCGTTTGAGGTAAGTGCATTATCTGTTACAAATGCACCATCGATTAGTCATAAACACTAATTCGTTGCCATCAATTTCACATCAAATGATCAAACGTATCTTTTCTTGGAAATTAAAAACCTTTTTTTCCTGGATCAATATAGATTTTGAACTTATCTTGAATTTTCTTCTTTGTAGAAGAAATGTAATTGATTATCATCATAGAATTTTACTTATTTCTAGATAATTATTATATATTTAAATTGAACACTTTTTTTCCATTGAATATACAAAAAAACAACAAACCATCACTGTTCTATTCATATTCAATGAGATAACAATCGACGAAAGCCAATTATTGATATTTACAAATTACCAAATGCTACACTATGTTCACGAGCTTTAAGACGTAATGCTGCAATGGAAGTACTTCGATGATCTAAATTAATATTATATCCATTATATGAAGATGGATTGAAATTATTTGTTGAAGCAGATGCTTGTGATAATGATGGAAATGCATAAGGTATATTGATAAAGTTTGGTAATGCATTTGACATCATTATAGACGATGGTGAGGAATCTGTTGAGTGATGATGATCTCGAAAAGGAAGATGACTCAATGAACTTGCCGATGATGAACACCAACTACCAGCCGCTGTCAACTAAAGTTATAGTTAATAGAAAACAAAAAGAAAATTCAAATTATTGATTTCTTTACTGAAGGATATTGACTACTAGCAACTGAAAGTAATGAAAGATCATAAGGATTTGTTGTTGCCAAAGTTAATGGATGTATTTGAGGTGTATTAACATATCGTTCACGTTTACGCCATTTTGCACGTCGATTTTGAAACCAAACCTAATTAAATAAATAGAAATTATTTGAAAACTTTATAATTTTACAATATCTTTTTTAATAAAGATACACTCAAAGATTATTCATTGATACTCTTCATCAAACTGCATTTAGTTTATAGAAGACTCCAAAGCGTCATACACAGGGAAATCATTGAATTTTTTCATAAAAACAAAAGAAGCATGCGTTTTAGGTCTTCGGTAAATTGAATGCAGTTCGACGGAGTAGCGTCATGAAGAGAGCCAAGGCATCACATTTTACTCTATCAAATCAAATCAATTCCAAAAAGCTTCGAATGACTGTCTGAAAACTTTTTTTGGAGATCTTGATTTTCCAGACATCCTCATACAGGCAGTTTTATTGGAGTTTTTAGATATACAAACTTGGATAGAGATTCCTATCAGTCACTCAAATGTTTTCTCAGATTCTTTCTAACTATTACGATCGAAGAGAAAACACGAAACTATAAATGCTATAAACTTTTGTTCGCCACTATATATTACAGCACTGCTCAAAAGCATATGACCAACGTATTTTTGATATTTTCCTACGATACTAAGCATTTAAGTAAAATCTAAATGGTGATTTCGATAGCCAATGAAGTTCTCTATCAAATACATTCCATATCGAAATTTCATAGATTGGTGGTGAGAGAAGGGTTTCTAAAAAACCAAGCACGGTAGCTTCGTATTGTTGAATTTTCCATGACTTTTCCTTTATAAACATCATCAAGCAAAATTCATCATAGCATTGCTAAAAAAACGTATTTTTTCATGAATGTTTATAATTGTCTTTAGGAAAGGTCGTAGGAAATGTAATGATCGCTCAATTTATTTCGAGTTTTGTGATTTTTAAAATGGCACTCTTAAAAAGTAATTTCAACATAACCTTCTGGGCTCTGAAGACTATCGTGTTCGGTTTTTCAGCAACTTTTCGCTCACAATCAATTTATGAAATTGTGATATGGAATACATTTCATAGAGAACTTCGTTGCTTTAGTATCAAAAAAAAAGAAAAATAATTTAATACTTTTCCCTTAGTATGAATATACTACAAACATCAATCATGATCATGAGAACTTTTCAACAGATATATGAATTCAATTTCCATATCGACTTCTGTTTATTCAAATCTTCTCTAAGCAATCTTCATTAGAAAACTCTTCTGTTCGTATTCGCCATCAATAAATATGCAGTTATAGATATTCATAAGAGTGTTTATAACTGTATATTTATTTAGTTTTAATGGGAACAGAAAAGTTTTCAAATTATAGAAATTCCTCTTAGTGTTGAATTAATACATTTGCAAAATGTTTACATTCATTATGATAGATATTGAATTCAACTTCATAATAATGCAAAATTATTAAATACTTCTGTTTACACAAATGTGCTAATAAGTATTAATAAATAATTATGATAATATTAAGCCAATCTTTCTAAATATACATTAATTTAATCTTTGTATCATGGACCGTATTTTAGAAACAAATTTTTTAAAAGAATTTTCTTTTTCTGATTGAGTGGAAAACAAAAAGCAAAAACTGTGAATTGATATCAAATCTGTTTCATTGAAGATAAACTTTCATACCTGAACCCGTGCTTCCGTTAAATCACAACGTACAGCTAATTGTTCTCGTACATAAACATCTGGATAATGAGTTTTTTGAAAAATACGTTCCATTTCTTCAAGTTGATGCGATGTAAATGTTGTACGATTTCGTCTTTTTTTTCGTTTGCTATCATTATCTTCTAATAGCGAACCATTATTGTCTCGTATAAATAATTTCTTATTTGAATCTATGATGAAATGAAATTAGATTATCAGATTAATTTCTATTGGAAATTATATTATATTCAATTTAAAATATAACTATTGAACAATAATAACTCAATCAATTTTTTTTTAATATATAATTCAAGAATAAATACCTGTATGATGATGCATCATGGTCATGTGTTAATTCAATATATTTGAACTTTATTTCTTTCTCTAACTGAATTTTCGACCAACAATATAATATGTATATGCACAGCTCTAATTTTATTAATCAGTTATCTATGAAAATGAATAAAAGCCACTTTGATAGTTAAGAGAGAGAGAGAAAGAGACAGAATAATAACGAATGTATTGTGCCGTTGCTGTTAAAGAAGATTAATGATAGTAATGTTCTTTTCTTTCTTCCTCTCTTTTTACTAGATATGATGCATTGCATATAAATTTGCCGATTGGTCTATATGTACAAAACAAAAAAACCTACTTTGTTCTGTGAACAGAGATATATTTGATTTTTCTTATAAGTATAATTTATACTAAATCGTCATCGTTTTCACTAATAGCCAAGAATAATTACAATGTCAACGGCTCGTCTGTTATTCAAAAAAAAAGAAAAAGAAGACACTTCTATCTAGATGATTTGTCTTCATCGATCAACAGAAATTTTTTTTTCTTTAAGCGGCAAGAGATCAATGAAAAAACTATGTATATATGAAGATAATATCTTTTATTTAATAATGAACTATTACAATTTGATTAAAGAAAGTTATTTAGTGTTTTTTTATTATTATCTTGTACTCTCTTGTGAAGACATCATTGTTGTTATTGAACCAGATTGTACTAATGTACTTTCATCATCCATTCGAATAGGAACTTGTGATGAAGATGAACCTTGATTAATATCATCCGATGGATTATGTATAAATGTACTAAGCTTTCGATTTTTTGCCCACTAAAAACAAACAAATAAAAAGAAAATATCACTTAGAGAGTATGCAAAAGGGCTTTTTCTTAAGAGAAATAACATGTGTATATCTATATATATATCAAAGTTTATTAAATTATCAAGAGAGAAAGAGTCTTTTGTATATACGAAAATTGTTAGGAAAATAAACTTGTCTGATGAAGAGCAAGAAAAAAGACATGTCGATGTAATCATTATTTTAGGAAAGTTCACATCAATTACAATAAATGTACTTTATTTTAACGATGATAGATTAAATATTAATGAAAATAATGAATATTGAACATATCATAAAGATTGATAGATTATAAAATCAGAATTTGACAATGAATATCTTTAATATCTTTTTTCCAATGTTCATTTATACGGGTAAACTTTAAAAAAGAAGTTTTTCTTATGAATGACGGGAACTCTAATGTTAGGAGTTGACTGTTCTGGTTTCGATTAGAATATAACTATGCTTTAGTAATTGCGTCACTATCTTGAATTATTAACAACCTTGTCGTTCGGTTGATGTTGTTGTTATATCGAACTAAACTTCTTTCCATAATAGAAGATCTTCCTTAATTAATTAATTAATTTCTCTCAAAATTGGTAACAAATGATCGGAACGTTTTTAGATAAGATGTTTATTCACTTTTTATGTATTTCCGACGAATCAAAAGCTATGAGTTAGGATTAGAATTTTGTGCTCGTTTCAAATTTTTGTTCGAGACCTGTGAACTAACATTTGAAAAGTTCAAACAATTTTTCTATTTTCACTATTGCAATTCGAAATTAAAAGTTGGAACCTCTCTATTTATATATCCGTTTGTAGATCAGAAGCTACCATTCAAAATGCACTACTTTTTGTCTTTCGACAAGGTACCTCATTTTTCATTCTTTCTTAATACTCATTTTTGAAGATTTCACAACCATTTTACATTTTTGAAACTCTTGAACAAATAATTGAGTGACAATCACAGTTCAGTTCAATATCACATTTTGCAGAGAAGTATCCGATCTACAAAGTGGCTAGTTCCGACAATTTTTAGGATGTTTGAAAAGGACTTATAGAGTGAACAAAAAACTTGTTGACTGATCATTCAAAATAATTTTTCAGATCTTCTAAAATGTTACTCACTGCTCTTGAAGAAAAACATTTCTAAGTCCATAACTATATTCTGATTATGACTTTTAGCTTTTGACTCGTCTAAAATACTTTCACGTTGGGTCAAAAAGAACAAATATGTTCACTAGAAACATCGGTCGTCCAAACAAATTTCTTGAACTTTTCAAAGATTATTCCACTACTTTCGAACCAAAACTAGAACAAAATTTCTTAGAGCATATTCGAAAAGAGCATCCTAAGTCATAGCTTTTGACTCATCGGACATACGACACAAATGAACAAACACTTTGCCAGAAAACCTTCCGGTCGTCCTTTACTTTAATTAGTATATTCATATCAAAATATGTTTAGTTTTCAAGGTTTCAAACTGGAAAACCTTTAAAAGACTAAGGAGGGAAGTTTCCCAACTGATAAATCGCTTTTGAATTCTGACCATGTGCATCGTGTAGATTGAAATGAGTTCAAACCCTTAACTTATTTCTACCGAGATATAGCATTTTTACAGCAGCAATGAAATAAGAACCTGAACTGTTTTTAGAGTATGCATAGCTCATTTGGTTCTGCATAATGCACGTAGTTTCGACTCAAAAGGGATTTATCAGTTGGTAGA